CCCCCCCCCCCCACTAAGCGCGGGACGGAGTCTTCCCCCCCCTCCCCAAGTCAGCGGAGGTGCCAGGGCTCCACAATAGACTCCTGGGCCACTTCTTCCTTGTTGTCACTGCAGGTCCCGTACTTGACCCGAGTGAAGGTTGACGCGCGAAGCTGACGGCGTTCAGAATAAAGGGGAGAGACCCTGTCCCAGCCCTTCCTCCCACTTCCCCAGCCCGTCCCTCTCCCCCAGTAGCTTTTCCTAGCTGACGTAGGGCTTCCTGTTTCTGCCAAATCATTAGCCGGAGAAATGTGGCTTCCAACTTGCCCCTGCCCCTTTTAAAGTTAGTTACTTCTTGCTACTTTTCTGGTACCCTAATGAAAGAGTGACTCATCGTTATGTGACCCTTGGAAAGTTCAGGGTTACATTTGCTTTCTTGGAGTAGGGAGGATATTTTAAATGCAATAAAATTCTGAATTGTAATATATGATGAAAGTTAAGGTTATGGGGAGTATATTTTATTGTTCTGTTTTTGAAAAAACATTTTTAGTTTGGAAAAAAGATTAAGGGGGGACATGATAGCGGTTTTCAAATATCTTAAAGGGTGTCACAAGGAGGAAGGAGAAAATTTGTTCCTCTTGGTTTCTGAGGACAGGACAAGGAGTAATGGGCTTAAAGTGCAGCAAGGGAGGTTTAGATTGGACATTAGGAAAAAATTCCTAACTGTCAGGGTGGTCAAATATTGGAATTAATTGCCAAGGGAGGTGGTGGAATCTCCCTCTCTGGAGATATTTAAGAACAGATTAGATAGACATCTGTCAGGGATGGTGTAGACAGAGCTTGGTCCTGCCTTGAGGGCAGGGGGCTGGACTCGATGACCTCTCGAGGTCCCTTCCAGTCCTATGATTCTATGAAACCACTGTAAGACAGTGTCTTTGGAATGTCCGTTTCTTGGAGCAATGTAAATACATAACTTAAAAAACAACATTAGGACACATTTTTTTCCCCCAGACATTATTTTTGTCTTTGCTGATGTTATGGCTGACCAGCTAGTGACTTAAATAAGAAATTAGAGAACCTTGTTTACCACAGAAACTGCAGGAGTTTAACTTAGATATGATGCACCTCTTTATTCAAACCATTGTAACATTGTAGACTTGTCTTATGTCTTGATGACAAATCAAGATTTTAAGGTGGCCCGTAATTATCCTTTTATTAAAAATGAGCTATTCAGCATGGAAGTGTGTGTATGTTTTGTTTTGATTTAATCATGGCTATGTTCCTCATCTCCGATGCTTTCATAACTATAATTTCAAGTTATATAGATAGTTGCTTTCTTTGAAATGTGTATAATGTGGATTTTTTTGTATAAGGTAATGTAAAGCCTGATATTTCAAACACAGTACTGTGTTTAACTTTAATCACACTGAAATGACTAGAATAGTGATAGAAATGTAGCCGTGTTAGTCTGGGGTAGCTGAAGCAAAATGCAGGACAATGTAGCACTTTAAATACTAACAAGATGGTTTATTAGATGATGAGCTTTCGTGGGCCAGACCCACTTCCTCAGATCAAATAGTGGAAGAAAGTAGTCACAACCATATATACCAAAGGATACAATTTAAAAAAATGAACACATGGGTTTTTTTATTGTATCCTTTGGTATATATGGTTGTGACTATTTTCTTCCACTATTTGATCTGAGGAAGTGGGTCTGGCCCACGAAAGCTCATCATCTAATAAACCATCTTGTTAGTCTTTAAAGTGCTACATTGTCCTGAAATGACTAGGGCTGTGATGTCTTTATCAGATGGACTTCTATAGTTTGCAGAACAGTGTGTTCAGGTACACACATGTGCGCACACACCTGAGTGATTACTTATGAACTGGTTCCACTTTTTCATGAAGCTGTGTGTTAGCTGGGATACTTCAGAGGCATAGCAGCTATTTCTTCCTAACTGCACATTTCTTCATAAAACAAAATTTTAAGCTAAAATTTTAAAACCACTTGCATGCTAGATGACTTTCAGTTTTAGTCTTTGGAGTCTCTGGTGTATAATTGTACCGTTAGTTAACTTAAGAGTTGTAGGTTGGTTTTAAAATAAAAATAAAGTGCCTGTAAGAATTTTGTATGAGACTACATGTCTCTTGGTCCGTGTCTTCACTTTTTGGAAGATCAGCGCTCGGGAGTTCAATTGAGTGAGTCTAGTAAAATTCAGCTTGTTAAATTGAATGCTGAGGGTCCCCTTGTTGACGCTGAAACTCTATTCCCAGCAAGAAGTAAGGGAAGTCGGTGGAGTGTTTCTCCCATCGACTTCCTGCTGTGAGGATGGTGCCAAACTCGGCTTAAGGTTTGTGGACTTCTGCTATGTTTATTACATAGCTGGAATTGCATACTTTAAGGCAAAATGTGTATGTCTACATTGCCATTTTATAGCCCCATAGCCGGAGCTCCAAGTCAACTGACCTCAGCCCGCCACAGGTGTTTAATTGCAATGTAGACACACCTTGAAAGTCTTCACTGTGTGAACTAAGAAAGTTTCAGAGTTCTCTTACCTAAAACTATCCTTTTCTTCCTCTTTCAATTTGTTCAGATGAAATATTGCACACTATACTTTACCTGGTTACAAACAAGAGTATGACACTTATCTGATTAAAGAAACAATGTTTGGAATAATGCAGTTTTTGATGCAGAAAAATGTCCATGTTAAGTTTATTTCTCCATTTTTTGTCATAGCAGCTTACTTTATGAGTTGTTTCTGTATTTCTCTAATTGCTATATCTGCAAACTTGAATCTTAACTAAACACTTATTTCCCAGGATAGAGACTTCCATATAAGGATACTATTACCATCAGATTTTCAGTTGAAAAATGCAAGGTGAGGTAATATTTCCTGATAAATACTTTTAACATTTTGTTCTGATGTACTATGGAGAGATGAGTGAGTGTGCATATATAAATACTAGTTTCACAGAGTAACGGTATATCTACGTAACAGCGCTAAAGTCAGAATAAGCTACTCAACTTCAGCTACATCACTTATGTAGCTTAAGTCGAAATAGCTTATTTCAGCTTTTGGCACTGTCTACATAGGAAGTCAAAGGAAGAACATTCTTCCTTTGATTTCCGTTACTCCTCGTAAAATACAGATTACCATGAGTCGGAGTAAGAAGTCCTCCAGCTCGAGATTATTTCGAAATAAAAACTTGTAGTGTAAATGTTCACTATGTTATTTTGGAATAACGTGAGTTATTCCAAAATAATGCTGCTGTGTACATGTGCCCTAGCTGACTTCTGTGGGTTTTTTTTTCCTCATTGTCTAATGATTATGTGAAATTCCCATCCAAAGCATACTGTTTTCATTGAGTTGTAAGTACCTGAAAACAAGTGTGTTTAAGGATGGCAGTGATTTAACATTCATTTTATTGTAGAGTCTAGGAGCCCAAGTAGGGTTGCGTGTCGATTGTTCTAAGAGTTATACAGATATATCCAAGTCATAGACCTTGACCCAAAGAGCATAGAGTAAGATGAAAATCTTTTCAAATATGTTGCTTTGATCAGTATTTCAGATACTAATTTTCAGAAAATGTTAAAATTATTTTCTTATTTTAACTGTCACCAGATTATAATGCAATAACTAATTAACTCTTGTAAGCTCTTAATGCTTATAATTTTTTTGATACATACTTTTGTTGTCTTCTTCAATATCCCAGCTAAAATGTGTGGCAGTTAACTCTGACATTTTCAAGATAGTGTGGTTTTTTTTAAATTATAGTGTCTATTATGAAGCTATATTAACTTACAAGAATTATGTTGTTGTTTTCAACCTAGAGTAGACAGGCTTATAGGTAAATGTCTACCTATTAATTTTTAAAGAGCTCTAGTTAGAGAAAGTGACATTTAAAAATAAATAACTCATTTTAGTATAAAAATTCAAAGTTGGAAAATATTTTTTCTTGATTTTGGGTGGGACGGGGCAAAAGAACTTAGCCTATAAATTGTGATATGCACTTGTTTCATTTGCTGCTTCCTTGTTTTAAGATCACTTCAAGTTAAAACTTTGAAATTTGTATATCTAGGATACAATGTAGCTGGCATCTAAAAAGAGTATTGCATGGATATCACCAGATTGTGAAACAGGTATAGTATATTATTTTTTTATCAAACAACTGTGAGCTTGAAATACAGGCAGTCCCCGGGTTACGTACAAGATAGGGACTGTAGGTTTGTTCTTAAGTTGAATCTGTATGTAAGTCGGAACTGGCATCAGCCGCTGCTGAAACTGATCAGTTTCAACAGCTGCTGAATCTGGACACCAGTTCCACTTACATACAGATTCAAGATAAGAACACCAGGCGTCCCCAAGTCAGCTGCTGCTGAAACTGATCAGCAGCTGATTCCAGGAAGCCCAGGGCAGAGCAACTCTGCCTTGGGCTTCCTGTAGTCAGCTGCTGGGGTGCCTGGGGTAGAGCAGCTCGGGTGCTGCTGGCTTGGTCCAGTAGCGCGGCTGCTCCTCGGAGCTACTGGACCAACCCAGCAGCACCCCAGCTGCTCTACCACAGGCCCCCGGCCTTGGTCCACGCTTCACTCGGCTGC